ACATTTGGCATGGGTAACACACAGGTTTGTGTCTTCAGTAAAGGCCAAACACACAGGCTTCATTTGCTTCCTGCACTGTGAAAGTGCAGATTTGTTTTGACTTCCTGGGTAATTTCTCACACCAGATATTGAAAGGTAAGTTTGGAAATCAAATTTCAGTGAACTCCTAATAATGTATAATTTTATGGACTGCTGCAGTACCGAGTCTCTATAAATTAATTTTCTTTACTATTAGCAGCCACAATAGATGCTACAAAGTTTTTCTATTAAATTTTTTTATATTTTTAGAAAAGTCCCTTAGACTTTTTTAAAAGTGTGTTTTCTTAAAGTTTATATTCATTTGTAACAAATTAAGCTGTCTGTTTTTAAAACCTGAGCTAGATTATAAAAACCTTAAGGCAAGCATATTGACAACATAAAGAAGAGATTGCAAAGGATGAGATGGAAAAATTGGAAATCAGATGCAGTAATCCAGGAAAACTCAAAAGTGTGAGGATCCTTAATAGTCCTTGAGAATATCACCATAGACTAGTTGATATTGAAAATTATGGCCCAGTCATGTAGAAATTTGAATTTGCTCCAGTATGTTTAGTTTGAGAAGGCATAAAAAATATACACTTTACTTTTAACAGCATTTTATACAAAATGCTTTAAGCTAAAAAAAACATATTTAATTGTAGATACTCACTGTCTTTTTTTAAAATTGTATTTATTTTTAATTGATTGATGATTGCTTTACAGTATTGGTTTGATTGCTGTCATACATCAACATGAATTAGCCATATGTGTACATGTTCCCCTCCCTCTTGAATTTCCTTCCCACGTCCCACCCTTTCCTACCCCTCTAGGTTGTTTCAGAATTCCTTAAGTCATACATTAAATTTCCATTGTCTATCTGTTTTACATAGGTTAGTATATATGTTTCCATGCTACTCATTGTCTTTTACCAAGATTTTTTGTTCTTCTCTACTAATCGTTTTTCCGTGGTACTACTGGGCAAGGTAAATTGCCTCCCCTTTTTTTGGAATGGGTAGAAATAAGGAGCTTAGTTTTGAATATGTTGTTTGGATATCTCTAAAATATTCAATTGGGGATATAAAGTATATTTGTTAAAGGAACTGTATGTACATCAATTGATTGTTGTTGTTGTTTAGTCGCTAAGTCATGTCTAACTCTTTGAGACCCCATGGGCTGCAGCACGCCAGACTTCTCTGTCATTCACTATCTCCTGGAATTTGCTTAAACTCATGTCCATTGAGTAGGAGATGCCATACAACCATCTCATCCTCTGTTGCCACCTTCTTCTCCTGCCAACAGTCTTTCCCATCATCAAGGTCTTTTCAAATGAATCAGCTCTTCGCATCAGGTGGCTAAAGTATTGGAGCTTCAGCTTTAGCATCAGTCCGTCCAATGAATATTCAGGATTGATTTCCTTTAGGATTGAATGGTGTGATCTTGCTGTCCAAATGGACCCTCAAGAGTCTTCTCCAGCCCCATAGTTCAAAAACATCAGTTATTCGGCACTCAGACTTCTTTATGGTCCAACTCTTATATCTGTACATGACTACAAAGTAATGTCTCTGCATTTTAATACACTACCTGGGTTTGTTATAGCATTTCTTTCATGGAGCAAGCGTCTTTTTATTTCATGGCTACAGTCACCATCAGCACTGATTTCGGAGCCCAAGAAAGTAAGTCTGTCACTGTTTGCATTTTTTCCCCATCTATTTGCCTTGAAGAGGTAGGACCAGATGCCATGATCTTTGTTTTTTGAATGTTGAGATTTAAGCCAACTTTTTCAGTCTCTTCTTTCACCTTCATCAGAGGCTCATTAGTTCTTCTTTGCTTTCTGCCATTAATTGAAGTTGCTCAGTCATGTCTGACTCTTTGTGACCCCCTGGACTGCAGCCTACCAGGCTCCTCCAACCATGGGATTTTCCAGGCAAGAATACTAGAGTGGTTGCCGTTTCTTTCTCCAGGAGATCTTCCCAACCCAGGGATTGAACCTGGGTGTCCCGCATTGTAGGCAGGCACTTTACCCTTTGAGCCACCAGAGAAGTCCATTCTGCCATTAGGGTGGTATCATATACATATCTGAAGTTATTCATATTTTTCCCAGTAATCTTAATTCCCACTTGTGATTTATTTAGCTTAGCATTTCACATGACGTACTCTTCATATAAGTTAAATAAGCAGGGTGGCAATATACAGCCTTGACGTACTCCTTTCCCAATTTTGAACTAGTCCATTGTTCCATGTCTGGTTCTAATTGTTTTTTTTTTTTTTTTTAACCTGCATATAAGTTTTTCAGGAGGCAGGCCAGGTGGTCTAGTATTCCCATCTCTTTAAGAATTTTCCACAGTGTGTTGTGATCCACATGAATTGTTTAAAAAGTGAAAGTCACTCAGACATGTCCAGCTCTTTGTGACCCCATGACTATACAGGCCACAGAATTCTCCAGGCCAGAATACTGGAGTGGGTAGGCTTTCTCTTCTCCAGATCTTCCCAACCCAGGGATCGAACCTAGGTCTCCTGCATTGCAGGTAGATTCTTTACCCTCAGAGCCACAAGGGAAGCCCAAGAAAACTGGAATGGGTAGCCTATGCCTTCTCCAGCGGAATACAGTTATTTAATCCATATATTCTAGAAATCAGCTGTTTGAATAGATATACAACTGTGAGGAACATTTTTTGATTATGACTACATTTGTTCCTTATAGAATCTGTTTTTTTTAATTTCTGCAATATTCTTGTTGGCTTCATAATCAATGCCAAGCTTCTCCTCATAAACACCATTCCAAAACTTGTGATTTCATATCAGTCTGATCTCTGTAGCAATGAGTTTTCAACAGCTTACAGCTATGCTGCTAAGTTGCTTCAGTCATGTCTGACTCTGTGCAGCCCCATAGACTGCAGCCCACCAGGCTCCCCCGTCCCTGGGATTCTCCAGGCAAGAACACTGGAGTGGGTTGCCACTTCCTTCTCCAATGTGCGAAAGTGAAAAGTGAAAGTGAAGTCGCTCAGTGGTGTCCAACTCTTAGTGACCCGGTGGACTGCAGCCTACCAGGCTCCTCTGTCCATGGGATTCTCCAGGCAAGAGTGCTGGAGTGAGTTGCCATTTCCTTCTTCATACAGCATGCAGAACAGTTTAATTATATTCATACTTAAACATCTTTTAAATGGTTTCTTCTCTCACTCCCCTTCTGTAGATCATTCTAAATAAATCATTTGATTATCCTATGTTGATGATTCTTCTAAGATGTAGATAGCCTAGTCTATTTGATTTATTTTGTGCCTATTTTAGTATTACAGTGTTTTTATAATCTTTTAATGTCTTGTAGTGTTTTTAAGACATTATTAACTCATGTATGTGTTTGAATTACACAAGAAAATAAATACCCGTTTAAATAATTATCCTTTCTAATTTGGAAATAGGAAACCTTTGTTTCGATTAGATTTGTGAATTTTATTAATCCAGTTAGAGAACAGCTTCATTCTATCAAAAATAAATTTTGTCTGTCACATTTGCTACTGATAATTTGTCTCTGTACATCCACACTGAATTGAATCTCGGAGACAGAGTTTGTGTGAAATGGAAGAGAACAGCTTTATTGCTTTGCCAGGCAAAGGGGGCCATAGCCAGCTAATGCCCTCAAAACTGTGTCCTAACCTGGGAGAGGTGGTTTGTGAGGAGAGTCTCACAGTCAAGGAGTGGGGCTGCTGATAAGGACCTGGGTTCCTGCATTCTTTCAATTTAGGATTCATCTGGTGGTCTCCTGATGGGATTCAGGGATTCTGTGGTAACTGACCTTCTCTCTGGAATGGAGAATGCTTCATCAGCTAGTTAGCATGTTCCATTTGGTGGAGGTACTGTAGAAGAACTCAAGGATATTGATATGTATATTCCTTGAGGAGGAACCAGGACCCTGCTCCAAAAATGCACTATTGTTTCTTGACTGCTTCTCCATTTCTTGACAGCCTCTCATTTTCTTGATTAGCAACTGTTTGAATCTATTCTTTGAAACTCAGGGGAAGTCTTAAAGGCTGAATGAAACCTATTTCCGTCAAAAAAGAAACAGGGGACACTGGGTTTTGTGTCCAGAAACCCCACAGGGTCCTTCTTGGTTTCATATTTGTGCTACAGTTCCGGGCAGGTACTTCTTTTTAAATGTTACTTGAAATTGGATTTAATTTTGTATGTCCTTTTATTATTTCATTATAAATTGTAGTGATTTCGTAAGTTTTTACCTTGAGAAACTACAAGTAGAGGAGCAAATTAAATCCAAAGTAAGCGAAGAAAAAGAGTATATGTTAGATGAGGGATCAGTTGAGTTGAAAACAGGAAATTAATAGAGAAAAAGCAACAAAACCAAAAGCTGTTTCTTTAAAAAGATCAATAAAGTTGATAAACCTCTAGCAAGGCTTCCAAGATAAAATTTAAAAAATAAATATCTAATAATCAGAAGTGAAAGAAATGTCATACCTACAAATCCCATGGATAGTAAAGAAAGATTATGAACAACTTTTTGTTAACAAATTCGATAGCTTCAATGTACTGGACCAATTTCTTGAAAGATACAATCTACCACAACTCACATGGGGAGAAATATGTAATCTAAATAGGTATTTATCTATTAAATAAATTCAATAAATAATCAATACTTCCTTAAACCAAAAGTATCAAGCTGAAATGGTTTCACTGTTGAATTCTAGCAACTGTTTAAAGAAGTGATGCCAGTTATCTACAGCTTCTAGAAAATAGAAGCACAACTACCAGGCATTTCAGTATTTTCAGTGTTCTGGGGTCTATGTAATAATTTGTATGATTAAATATATGTGCAATTTTCAATTATGACAAATTTGTTATTAATTTTTCTTCATTTTCCTTTGATGCCAAAACATTGCTGATTTGACTGTATATTAATATAGCCTGTCTGTAAGTAGTTAGCAAAACACCAGAAAGAAAGGATGACTACATTTAAAAATTTTACTTTCTTTTAGGTCCACCTCATTCATTTAACCGAGATGAGACAATAATCATTGCATTGGCATCAGTCTCTGTATTAGCTGTTTTGATAGTTGCCTTATGCTTTGGATATAGGATGCTGACAGGTAAAAATGCAGGTTTTTGTTTTGTTTATTATTTATTTTGTAATATTTATTAAACATTGTGTTTAATCAGAATTGATTTTCTTTAAAAAACAATTTTTCATTGTAAAAAGCATCTGTTTGCTGCAGTAGCCCTGGAGCCATCCTTGTGTGTTAGACTTTTTCCCCTAGTTTTTATGAAAGGTTTCAAACATATACAGAATACTTATCACCCAGCTTCAATGATTGTCACATCTGTATATCATCTATAGGCCCACTCACCCTACCCTTCCATGCTGTTGGGTTCTTTTGAAATAAATTGAAAGTATCCCTTATCTGTAAATATTTTAGTATTATGTCTGGAGTATAACCATTTTTGCATCTAAGAATAACAATAATTAAAAATAATTCCTAATCATCAGCTGTCTAATTGGTTCTAATAAACTTTTGATAAGCTTTCTAGGAAATAAGCACCCATTCATTGATTTGAATAATTTTAATAAAATCTTCCTTGTTATTTCTGTCCATTTCTTAGGGTTTTACACTAGGTGTACTGGAACCATCTCCCAAAGTTCAGCTTTCATGTTATTCTTTATTTATCTTCATTTATAGATGATTCTTAGTTTAGTAAATAGTTTTAGTCCCATTGATATTAGGTATAAGTTATGCTGTCTGTCCTTCTGCAGATCTTCTATTTAACTGTAATATATAAAAATATATAATAAATATTTTCACTTTTAAGAGAACCACTCATTAGCAAGTTCTTTTTCTAATTTCTGTAGGAGACCGCAAACAAGGTCTTCACAGTATGAATATGATGGAGGCAGCAGCATCAGAGCCCTCTCTTGACCTCGATAATCTGAAACTGTTGGAGGTAAGATTGCTTTCAGATTATGGACTGTTTTTTTTTTTTTTTTCCTGTCCACATAGTACATCTGAGACAGTGATTAATTCATTTATTCATTTATTCAATGACCATTTGTTAAAAATTTTGTGTCAAGACATCTTCAAGGCACTGAGAATGTTGGTGACCAATACAGATACTTGAGGCTTATATTCTAGTGAGAAGGAGTCTACAAGAGGGTAGATAAATGAAGGTACAATTGACTCTTGTACAACATGGGTGTGAACTGTATGGGTCCACTCATACACAGATATTTTTTCAGTAGTAGATGTTACTACACCATCCATATTTGATTAAATCTGTGGATATAGAACCAGGGACCAGAAGAACCATGTGTGTATGAAGGGTCACCTATAAGCTATATGTGAATTTTTGGACTATGTGGAGATTAGGTGTCCCTAACCCCACATTGTGGATAGGTCACTATATATTTCAAGTAGTAGTAAGTGCTATGGAGAAAAAAATGCAAATGAGATGAGAAAGTTACAGAAAGGGGTTAGTAAGGAAAGTATATTAAGAAAGGAGATAATCTTTAAGTAGAGACTTGAACAGAGTATGGGAATAAAGACATACCAAATTCTCAGAGAAAATGTACAGGCAAGGATTCCATAGTAGATGCCAAATAAACATTACTTGTTTGTATATATATTATGTATTGTATAGGTACATACAAATATGTTTTGCATAAAATTAACTTTTCATTTGGTAATATCTCAACCTGTGTTAAAAGTCTCACCATGATGAATGTTTTTATGCCATTTATTAGGATAACTGAACTATAATGTCTAAACCAGAGACTGTTAAATGATAGATATGGTATATAAAACATTTTAAGAACTTTCTTTTTGGGAGGAAAATACAATAAAAGTGAAAAGCAAAATTCAAAAAAGGTATTTCAGTCCATAAAGAATTGATAAAGAGCTGGTAGAAATCAACATGAAATAAACAATCCAATAAAAATAGACAAAAGAGATGAATTGTCAATTCACAGAAGTAAGTATGCCTAGTAGTAGTAGTGGTGGTCGTCGCTCAGTCGTGTCTGACTCTTTGTGACCCATGGGCTGTAGCCCGCCAGGCTCCTCTGGCCATGGAACTCTCCAGGCAGAGTGCTGGAGTGGGTTGCCATTGCCTTCTCCAGGGGATCTTCCTGACCCAGTGATCGAACCCGGGTCTCCTGCACTCTTTACCGTCTGCTTCCCTGGGGGCTCAGATGGTAAAGCGTCTGCCTGCAGTGTGGGAGACCCGGGTTCTATCCCTGGGTTGGGGAGATCCCCCGGAGAAGGAAATGGCAACCCACTCCAGTACTCTTGCCTGGACAATCCCATGGACAGGGGCGCCTGGTAGGCTACAGTCTATGGGGTCGCAAAGAGTCAGACACGACCGAGTGACTTCACTTTCTTTACCATCTGAGCTACAGGGAAGTATACCTAGTAAATGTATAATAAGATGTCCAGTTTAGTAAACTGGAGAAAATATGAATTAAAACCATTAGGATATTGTTCTGGATTGAGTGAAAGAAACACTCCAGCCATTGCTGATTTAACTTTGCTTTGATACAGCCTTTCTAAAGGGCAATCTTATCTGTTTGTAAAAATTTAAATTAGGAATAGTGAATGAAATATAACAAATATCATTAAATAAATGGTGGTAAATTCCTAAGCTTTTTTCGGTAAAAAGGCAGAGAAGTTCCAGAAGCCAGAAATGAAGAGAACGGTTGCAAATTGCTGGGGGTTTTGTTTGAGTAATTTTTTACTGTATTGTACTGGAATCTGTGAATGTTGTGTTGTGGAAACACTGTATTCTGTTCAGTTCTTATAAAGTGTGTTCATTTCATTGCTGGTTTTGGTAGGCAGTTATCTTTGTTAGGCATATTACAAGCTTTTCTCTTGTTACTGATCCTTTACCTGGAGTCTGTCCTATGCATTAGTTGAATTTCCCACTCTCTGATGCTCTTTTTTGGGTTCTGTGTTCATTCTCCATCAGCAGTGGTTGCCCTAAATTCTGTTCCCTGGTTTCTGAAGCTGGAAAGACTTTCTATGGCAATTTTTTATCCAATACACAGTGCAGATTGCAGCCTGCTCACAGACTGAATGCTATAAAATAAGTATCTCACCCTATGCCATTTCTTTCTTCTAAATGTTGAGTCCCCTCAGGATCTACCTACTTTTGTTCATTCCCCTGCATTTTTAGATTTCTTTTAAAAAATTTTGTTCAGAGTTTATAATTGTCATCTGTGGAAGGGCTGGGTATGGTACTTGTTTCTGAGCTGTGTAGGATGCCTAATTTGTTAGTTTATTGATAATGGAGTAATTCAGACTAAGCATTAGAGACCTGTTGGATACATACAAATTTGTACTTTATTATTTAGTAAATTTGATTGTTCAGTTGTGAAGAAATAACATCTTGCTTTTTTTCAAAACAAACTTACAGCTGATTGGCCGGGGTCGATATGGAGCTGTATATAAAGGTTCCTTAGATGAACGTCCAGTTGCTGTAAAAGTGTTTTCCTTTGCAAACCGTCAGAATTTTATCAATGAGAAGAACATTTACAGAGTGCCTTTGATGGAACATGACAACATTGCTCGCTTTATAGTTGGAGATGAGAGAGTCACTGCAGATGGACGCATGGAGTATTTGCTTGTGATGGAGTATTATCCCAATGTAAGTTCTTCTTAAAAAGTTTACTGACTTTTATGTTAATCGGATTTGTAAGAGGATCCCTGTTACATAGAGAGTTGCTGGTTTGCAAACTGAGTATTAATGGTCTACAGTGAATGTGAATGAAACTGTTTAGTGCCCTGAACCTCCGTCAATATGTCCCTGTCTCTCTCTTAGCAAGACTTCTTGATGAAGGAGGCAGTGCTTTGATTGACATTTACTCTGATGCATGCTCTTTATTTCAGCCTGGTAATAAAGAATTTATGGATGAGCACCTTGAGTAGCTATGACATATATTTACAAAAGCCTTCTGATTGTAAAAAAGTTTTCTACTTGTAAAACATAATAGGATAATTTGGTTTTGTCCTGGTAAAAGATACCATGTAAAGAAGCAGTTGAAAATACTTTTTTTCTATCTTAAGTTGATAAATCAAAGCCTTTAAAATGAAATTAAATAACCTTTCATAATTTTTAATACTGGAGGCATAAAAATTGATAATGTCAATGAGACAAGTGCTCGGACCTGGTGCACTGGGAAGACCCAGAGAGATCGGGGGCAGGGGAGAGGGAGGTGGGAGGGGGGACCGGGATGGGGAATACATGTAAATCCATGGCTAATTCATTTCAATGTATGACAAAAACCACTGCAATGTTGTAAAGTAATTAGCCTCCAACTAATAAAAATAAATGGAAAAAAAAATTGATAATGTCTAAATTCTACTTTCCATTCTCTCTTCCTTTCTCTACCCACAGAGATGTCTTTTCTTACTTCAGTGTTCTGAAATGTCATGATTCATTAGACCTCCTTTCAATCCTAACATATGTAAATCCCTTTATACAGCTGCTCACTTACCTCCTCATGTTCAAATAAAGTAGTTACACTTTTTTCCCCTTCCCTTTTCCTTTTTTCCCTCCATATAGGGATCTCTATGCAAGTATTTAAGTCTCCATACAAGTGACTGGGTAAGCTCTTGCCGTCTGGCTCATTCTGTGACTAGAGGATTGGCTTATCTTCATACTGAATTACCACGGGGAGGTAAGTCAGTGATAAGAAGATGCTGAAAACCATATGGGGACAAGAAGATGCTGAAAATCATATGGGGACACAGTTCACAAATGGAAGCTTTATTTGTATCTTCAGAATAAAAATATATTTTATATTACAGCAGATGTATTATTAGCCAGTTGTTTAAAAGATCTAGTGTGAGGAAATGTATTTGAAAGTTAACAAGAAGAATAAGAAAAAGAACTTCATTACTCTAGATAAGTCATGGATTTCATTGAGATTTTAATTAAAGCTATGAACACTCTCCCTTTAAAGATACGCATATGGGCATACTTTAAAAAATATTCTTGTGATTGTAGGGGTTCTCAGTCTTTTGACCTTCCTCTCTGGCCCTAGGTTAAGAACCTCTTAGCTGGACTGCATTGTATATTCCTTGTATATGTTTTGCTTATTTAAATGAACTACATATGCATTGTTACTTCTTTAGGCACACATTCTATAGTTTGGTTGGTCTTCAGTATAAAACCCAAATATATCTTTTTATAAATCAGTGCTTCTCTTAGCTAGCATTAGGTTTGTTCAAATTTATCAGGGAGAAAAATATAACAGATTTCAATGAGAATGACTGTTTTTTTCCTTTCTCATGTAACTATCTAGAGAGAGACATCACATTTTTTTGGCAGCACCATAGTTGTGTTAGGGCTCCAGACTCCTATATTTCTCCTACATGAATCTTTATATGTGGCTTATGTTTTCAGGATCACCTCATTGTCCATCATGCTATATGCTAATCAGAGAAAAGGGAGAATAGAAGGAATTGCCCCTTTTTCCCTCCGGAAGTCCCACTCTTGTGATTATGTTTTCTTTCCCAGAGCTTAGTCCACGCTTTCCCACCTCACTTAGCTGCAAGGGGTGTTTCAGTGCAGTGTGTGTTTGTTGGTTTTAGCTAGGTGCATTGCTGCTTCAGATAATGAGGATGCGTGGTGAGGAGTCCATCTGTGCCAGTGGGTCAATGCTGAGTGGTTGTATTATGCCAGTACTGAGTGTAGTGCTGTAACTACAGTTTTATTCAGTCCTTATGTACATTTTTGCTAGTTTTCCAAAGCATCTTTTTAATATATTTGCTTTCTTCACTTTGTTTCAAAGTACACCTCATATCATATCCCAGGCCCCTCAAAATTAGCTTTGCTATGAAAATCTGTCTTTGTGTTTATATCACTACAGCAGTTTTCCTGCCATACATTCTTTTTTCACTTTCTCTGACCTCTGTAATGAAGAGAATTTTTAATGTATCAATTTCTCAGATCTTTGTTCCATTGTATAATAGCGTGGATCATCTTTTTTAGCTGCTGCTTCATATATAAATAATTTCTCCTGAATAATTTATCAGTTCATTTATCTTGACATCTTGCTTTTCTTGAATACAAAATTGTTCAATGTTATTGCCTATGTCAGCAACTTGATGCACTTACTTTAGTGCGTTAGCTCATTAACCATTTGAATTGTGTTTCTTTATTCTGAAATATTATAACTCCTTTAAAGAGCTCTCTTAGCACAAAAATTAAAATACCATCCTAATCCCCCTTTTCAAGGCTCCCATGATTCAGAAAGTTTTCCAGTCAAACTTTCGCTGGAAAGAATAATTGCCATCAAATATGAGTGTTATTTAAACACAGATTCTATTCTTAAACATCACCTTATATTATTACTAAATAGTTAACCTTAAATAAAAAAACAACTGAATATATACTATTATAAAAAACATCAGTATAATAGCTATTTGAATTTTTATTACCTAATTATTTAAAAAATGTTCCACAACTCATTTAGTCAGAACGGCCATCATCTAAAAGTGTCCAAGTAATAAATGTTGGAGAGAGTGTGGAGGAAAAGGAATCCTTTTATACTGTTAGTGGAAATATAAATTGGCACAGCCACTATGGAGAATAGTATGGAAGTTCCTTAAAAAAACAAAAGTAGAGTTACCTTATTATCTTGAAGTCCCATTCCTGAGCACATATCCAGAAAAAACTATAATTCAAAAAGATACATGCATCCCAGTGTTCATTGTGGCACTATTTACAATATCCAAGGAACGTACATGTCCATCAACAGATGAAGATGAGGAAGATATGATATAAATAAAAGGGGGATACACACACACACACACAAATTATACACACATATAAAGGGAATATTGTGTTATGTGCTTACTCAGCCATGAAATAATTCCATTTGCAGCAACATGGATGGACCTAGAGATTATCATACTAAGTGAATGAAGCCAAACAAATATCATATGATATCACTTATATGTAGAGTCTGGAAAAAAAAAAAGATACAAATCAACTTATTTACAAGACAAAATAGACCTACAGACATAGAAAACAAACTGTGGTTACCAGAGGGGAAGGGGGAAGGATATGGACTTAAGTAGTTGTGGCTCTTGGGCTCTAGAGCCCAGGCTCAGTAGTTACTGCATGTGGGCTCAGTTGCTCCACCTTTTATTTCCTTTTTAATAGTATCAGAAAGTGTTACCCGAGTTTCCCCTCTGCTGGCTCACTTACTGACTCTTTGTATCGTTCTTCACTTTATTAACCTAGTTTCCCTAGTGTGAGATGATTTAGCTTAATTATTGGTATGGTGTTATACAAACATTTTCAGGTATCTCTGTAAATTTTCTTATATAAATAGCAACTCAAGATTAACCATGTATACTTATGTTCTGGTTTTATCCAGAATAAGAAATGCAGCTCTTTTATGGGTTGAGTGAGCCATGTTAGTACAGACTTTGGAAGACTGGACCAGGAAGCAGGAAGGGGAACAAATGAGAAAGAAATCAACTCATAGAAACCTAGTAACTGCTATTTTTCTTCCAGTTGTGCTATTGTTTTCCTCCCCGTATCAAAGGAATCCTTTTTTTTTTTCTTTTGAGCTTTTTATTCTATATTGGGCTATAGCTGATTAACAGAGTTGTGATAGTTTCAAGTGAATAGAGAAGGGTCTCAGTTATATTCATCCATTCTCCCACAAACCCTCCTCCCATCCAGGCTACCACATAACATTGAGTAGAGTTCCATGTGCTATACAATAGTCCTTGTGGGTTACCCCTTTAAAATATAGCGGTGTGTACATGACCATCTCAAACTCCCTAACTGTCCCTCCTCTAGCCCTGCAACTATAAGTTCATTTTATAAGTCTGTGAGTCTTTTTCTGTTTGTAAGTAAGTTCATTTGTATCATTTCTTTTTGGTCAAAGGAATCATTATCTCCTGTCTTTGGTTTTATTGTTGGTGAAATTGCAGTTTAATACATGTTAATGAGAGTAGTAAATGTAAATTCTGAGTCTTTTTGTGCCTAAATGTAAACATTCTGTTTGTATTTATCATTGACTTTGTTCTCATTGCTCTATTTCTTTATGTAACTAAGGAGTTATTTTAAATTTTGAGAATTATACTATAGAATTTTTTTTCCTTTTAAGAGCTGTGGTTTTATTTCAATGTAAGATTTATGTAAAGTTTTCTTTTTTAAATTTTATTGAAGTATAGTTGATTTCCAATATTGTATTAATTTCTACTGTACAACAGAGTGACTCAGCTGTACACATATATTCTTTTTCATATTCTTTTCCATTGTAGTTTTTCACAGGACATTGAATATAGTTCCCTGTGCTATACAGTGGGACCTTGTTTTTCCACTTTATATATAATAGTTTGCATCTGCTAATTCCAGACTCCCAGTCCTTTCCTTCCTTCCTCCCTCCTCCGTTGTTTTCTTATCAAGAGGAAAAGAATTATGATTTTAGTTAGGGGCCTTGGTTGGATATATTCTTCCAGGCAGTGTGTGTGTGTCTCTGTGTCAGGCCTTTTGAATTTAGGCAGAACGTGTCCTCTCTCTGCCTTCATTGAACATAAAGGTCTTCTGATAAACAAGTAACAGAATGAGTATAGGAGTATTTTGTTGTGTAAAATCAGAAAACAGTCCACTGCAAAACTGTTTCTAGTTTGATGTGAAGAACTTTAGTAGGCTTCATAGCTAAGCCTCAGGGCAAAACTGGGATTTTTCTGTCATAGGTTATAAGATACATATACCAATTTCAGAGCCATGCCAGTTTTACAGTGATAATTGTTTTAGATAAATTTACTTTTTGTTTTTGCCAAATATTCCTTTTTTTTATTGCTTCCTTTTGCTGCTTCTGCTGCTGCTAAGTTGCTTCAGTCGTGTCCGACTCTGTGCAACCCCATAGACGGCAGTCCACCAGGCTCCCCCATCCCTGGGATTCTCCAGGCAAGAACACTGGAGTGGGTTGCCATTTCCTTCTCCAGTGCATGAAAGTGAAAAGTGAAAGTGAAGTCGCTCAGTCATGTCCAACTCTTAGCGACCCCATGGACTACAGCCTACTAGTCCCCTCTGTCCACGGGATTTTCCAGGCAAGAGTACTGGAGTGGGGTGCCATTGCCTTCTCCAGCCTCCTTTTGCTACCATAGGGAAAAAAAAGGACCAAAGTAGTATATGTTAAAATTAGAAGCAAGATCCTATTGACTAGTAATTGCAGCTGAATGTTTAAAGCTTAATATAGATGCAGAAGGAATTATGTGTGAAATACAATGAAAACAGGATTGTGAGTTGAAAATTTTATTTACATACTTTCTCTTATTAGAAAAGTATAGGGAAGAAAAACAGCAGTCTTCTTTATATTACCTTCCTTCTCATTCTGTGTCCAGTAGTGCAATTGAAGCATTAATAAATATTTGAAAATTATCCAAACAGATCATTATAAACCTGCAATTTCCCATCGAGATTTGAACAGCAGAAATGTTCTGGTGAAAAATGATGGAACCTGCGTTATTAGTGACTTTGGGTTGTCCATGAAGCTGACTGGAAATAGACTGGTGCGCCCAGGGGAGGAAGATAATGCAGCCATAAGTGAGGTGAGTGTATACAAAAGGTATCACACTGACATACTTTAAAAACATAATAAATTGAATTTAAAAATCTACTAACTACTCAGGACAATTGTCCTTATCCAGTTAGGAATTACAGAATTAAGATATACAGAAAACATTGCATGAAGTTCATCAGTTCATGTGGAAATCACTACCATTCCAAGTTATTTTTGTCAAAGCAGCAGGAGGAATACTGTTGACTGGGCTTCCCTGGTGGCTCAGATGGTAAAGCATAGCTGCAATGTGGGAGACCTGGGTTTGATCCCTGGGTTGGGAAGATACCCTGAAGGAGGGCATGGCAACTCAGTCCAGTACTGTTGCCTGGAGAATCCCATGGATAGAGGAGCCTGGTGGGCTACGGTCCGTGGGGTCGCAAAGAGTCGGACGTGACTGAGAAACTCAGCACACACAAGCGTGAGCACTGTTGACTAGGATGACTGAATCACAGCTTAAGTATTTCAAGAGGGTACTTTTTTAAAGAAAAAATTGCTAAGATGAATTTTATTAAAATTAAAAACTTCTGCTCTGTGAAAGACAATGTTAAGAAAATGAAAAAACAACCCTCAAACTGGGAGAATATATTTGAAAAACACATATCTGATAAAGGACTTGTATCCAGAATATAAAAACTCTTATAACTCAACAGTAAGAAGTCAAACAAGTCAATTAATAACTAGAAGATCTAAATAGACACCTGACCAAAGAACGTATACAGATGGCAGATAAGCATGTGAAAGTTACTCAGTGTGATGCATGATTCAAGAACTGCAAATCAAAGCAGGATGCCATTGCCTTTGAATGGTTTAAAAAAAACAAGAATTTCAAATGCTGGTGACAATGTGGGGCAACAGCAACCCACTCCTTGTTGGTAGGAAAGCTTGATAATGTTCACTTTGGAAAACATAGTATTCCAGCAATCACACTCCTAGGTATATAGACCCTGTTGAGTTAACAACTTATATTCACACAAACACCTGCACATCAAGCTTAAAGCAGCTTTATTCATAATTACCGAAAACTGGAAGCAACCATGATGTTCTGAAAAGGGTATTTTATAGTTTAAAAAATGAGGTCTAAAAAGGTTCAGTGACATACCTAGGTTCAAATAAGCATATTGACCTATTGTTGACTTGAAATTTATGTGTAACTTCTGGCCTAATGTATGCCCTTCAGAATATGCTACATTATTTCCTGAAATACATATCACTCTTTTTTATCAGGTTGGCACAATCAGATATATGGCACCAGAAGTTCTGGAAGGAGCTGTGAACCTTAGGGACTGTGAATCAGCTTTGAAACAAGTAGATATGTATGCACTTGGACTAATTTATTGGGAGATATTTATGAGATGTACAGACCTCTTTCCAGGTGAGGGAATTGTTAACGTATGTTTTGAGGTGAAGCAGTTACATATTCTTTCTACTTATATTAAGTCTACTTTTATGTTTGTGCTTTCATTTAAACCTTTAGTTCAGTGCCATCTAGTGTTCAAAAACATTATTAGCAGAAAGACGTCAGTCGGAAAAAACTTTTTAGAAAGAACTCCAGGTTTGCATCTGGGTGTGATTTAATTAATTGCTGTTAATAGCTTACCTGTGTTCAGTTTGGTCTCTGATGCCTTTAGCAGTTCTCATTTTCCTTATGCACCCTCTGAGCATTTGTGAAGCTGTACTTCATAGTGTTTCTTGTATTGACTCAGTAAGGAATTAGAACTAGTGAATTATCCACTGGATTATCTTTTTCTTCCTTTTTAAAAGTTCTCCTTTTCTTCCTTTTTAAAAAAAATTTCCCTTCTCTTGTCATGCCTTCCTGTCTGTCTTCCTTCCTTTCATGAAAGAACAACTCATTCAATGTAAATATTTATTTGAGGCTAACTTGAAATAGCAAAATGAGTATATATTTTTCTCCTTTTGTTAACGATTATATCAGTCATTGTGATATATTAACAAAAATTTAAACTAATTACCAGTGTATTTACTAGTGCATTGCACTCTTCTAGGTTGTATAAAAATAATTTGACATGAGTGGTCTCTATTTTATAGGAATAACAGCATTAATAGCATGGGGAAATAAAAAACAGTCAATTGACCCAGCATTGGACAAATGGAACTACTTAATACAGATTAGTAGTGGGATTGATTTTTTTTGCTTCAGAAATAGTGAGCATTTGGGTCTTCCATGGTGGTCCAGTGGTTAGGAATCTGTGCTTCCACTGCAAGGGACACAGGTTTGATCCATGGTTAGGGAAGTAAGATCCCACGTGACACACAGTGTGATTCCCCACCCCCAACCCAAAAAAGAGTGAACATTTATCAATAGTTTATAATTCTAAAATATAATGAAATAAATTAATAATTATTTAGATTACTGGCACATCAATCAGTTATTATTTAGAAGTATATTTTTCAATTAAATAGAAGTATTGGGTACTGGACAGCATATTAAAAAGCAGAGACATTACTTTGCCAACTAAGGCCCGTGTAGTCAAAGCTATGGTTTTTCCAGTAGTCATGTACACATGTGAGAGTTGGACTATAAAAAAAGGTGAGCACCGAAGAATTGATGCTTTTGAACTGTGGTGTTGGAGAAGACTCTTTGAGAGTCCCTTGGACTGCAAGGAGATCCAACCAATCCATCCTAAAGGACATCAGTCCTGGGTATTCATTGGAAGGACTGATTCTGAAGCTGAAACTCTAATACTTTGGCCACCTGATGTGAAGAACTGACTCATTTGAAAAGACCCTGATGCTGGGAAAGATTGAAGGCAGGAAAGAAGGGGACAACAGAGGATGAGATGGTTGGATGGCATCACCGACTCAAAGGACATGAGTTTGAGTAAAGTCCAGGAGTTGGTGATGGACAGGAACGCCTGGCATGTTGCAGTCCATGGGGTTGCAAAGAGTCAGACACAACTGAGCTACTGAACTGACTGGCTGACTGTGTACTCAAAGTGTTTTTCTGGAAATAGCAATGATTGCAGTAGTATCACATATTATTGGAACCTTGTAAGTTTTCATTTCTATTATTAAAATGTTGGCCATAGTGTTTTAAAAATGCTAATCCAGAATTTTTGTTTTTTAGAAGCATATGTGACTAAAATGATTCTTGTGTCAGCTTAAGTTAGTACATTGCTATCAGCAGCGTTTTTTTGAACAATTACTACATTCAAAGAATAGCTATTCCTTTTGGACTGGTAAATTATAAAGTATAATATCAAATATTTGCACAGGAAAGGCAATTAAATCTTGTTTGCAGAATATTATTTTAATGGAGATATAAGATAAATTGAAATAATGCTAGAAAGTTTAAAAAAGGAAAAGGAAATTGAGTGTTAGTGTTAACTGTATACAGAATTTCAGTTTAGGAAGATAGAAAAAGTTCTGGACATGGATGCACAACTTTGTGAATGCACTTAGTGCCGCAGAACTGTACATTCAAAAATGGTTTAAATGATAAATTTTATGCTACATACATTTAACCACAATTTAGAATAAAAATGAAGGAAAAAGAAGAGAGTTGTATTAAGATACCCTGTAATCTTAGATATAGAAATAGGGAAGAAAAGGTGTATGTGAGATAAAATGTGGAAAATGAACCTGTGGTTCTCGTTAGCTATTGGAGACAATCTAGGAAACTGAGAAATATTAAAAAGTTTGAGAAACAGTAAGGGCGCCAACAAGGAGCTTAGGAAAAAGCCCTGGTTTGTCTCAGAAAGATGCGTTAGTTATGGTAGCTTTTGGATGGAGTGTTGATGGACAAGTGAAAGTTTGGTCTCTGATGCCTTTAGCAGTTCTCATTTTCCTTATGCACCCTCTGAGCATTTGAGAAACTGCTGAAGAACTTCAGGAATGAAGAATTTAAGATTAAAGTATTTATTTGGTAATTGTCTACATAGAGATGATAATTGAGAATTTATGAGTGGATGTACTCCACTCCCCTATGAGAATAAACAAAGAGAGAAACACTGGTAAGTAAAGAGTGAGTGTTAGGCCACTTCCACCATTATAGGTTAGTGAAGAAGATAAAAATACAGAGGAAACCAAGAAATGAGAGAATTGGGGAAGTCAGTGTTAGAAAGTATTAAGAACCAAGATTGATAGAAATACATGTAATTGAAAGGTCAGAAGGAAGTAGAGCTGAGGAATAATCTTGGAATTTGAATAGGAGGAGATCACTGGTACTCATAGAGGAGTTTCTGTGAAATATAGAAGACAGAAATATTACAGGGAAACATTAAGAAAGCACAGGCAGTGGATACAGGGCACTCTTAGGATTTTTAACAATGAAATGAGGTGTAAATATTCTACAAACATGTTAATAAACCTAAAGAAAGCATATTGTAAAATTGTTATAAAATATTCTTTAAATTTCTATCGTAGAACTCCCAAGTGCCTCACATGCTTTATTATTCCATTTTAGTAAATGGAAACAGTTTGTGTTGATGGCTGTCTGTCTCTCTCTGTAAAATATTAACAGTACAAATAAATTCGGTTCTATATTGTACAAAGGAAGAAAAGGAAGGAGAGAAAGGAAGGAAGAAAGAAGACAGGAGAAAGAAAGGAAAAGAACAGGTGTAAATTAAGAAGTGGATTAGAGAGTTTCTAACTACTTAGAGACATACAAGTAACAAATGAGAACCATGAAGATTTAGTAGAAACTTGATAATTCTTAATGTCATTCCATTCACAAAACAAGATTATGCATTTGTTTTATTTAGCATGTTTTCTAATGATAATTTAGATCTGATTAAAGCAAATAAGTAAAATTATAAATATTTATTCTACTGATTGAACCTTTGAAGAAAAAATAACACTTGGAAAGTGTGTATCTGTGTTGTGTATATGTCTCAGAAACACAGAGGAGATACTAGTACAGTAACTGTAACTAAGTACAGTTAACAGATGGTATGGGTTGAGGGTTTGTCATGTGAGATTTCATGAAAGAGGGTGATGCACTAGGTGGCAGATGAAATACTTGAGTTGTGTCTTTCAAGTTCAGTGTTGATGCTTATTGATAAAAAATTAAGTATGCTTAAATATTTACAGAGTATGTGAAAATATCATTTGTATTTATAGGTAGTGCAGTATTCCAAAAAATGTGAGCTATGCTACATAAATTATAGAATTGATTTTTGTAACTTTTCAAAAAAATATTCATGGAGGGCAAATATGTGAGTTTTTTTAATATTCAAATTGAAGCATTAAACTTCAGTTGCATGTTTTGTAAAGTTCTTTTTTTTTTTTTTTTTGGTAATGTACTTTCTATCTGGGTAATTATGACTTTTATCTCCATGTGAGTGAGATAAGGAAGGCAGACATTGCCATTTTGCTGACAGGAAGACTGAAACACAAAATAGTTAAATGACTTTTCCAAGGTAGAGATGAAGCCAAGATTACAACCTAAGTGTCTTTCCTCCATCCTGGTATCCTTTCTTCTAATTTATCCTGTCATTTTAATGGTGTTGCGGGAGGCACAAGAAGACAGGAAGAGTCTCTGTTGTATTCTTTGCTATTGATTTTCTAAGTGTTGGTCCCAAAGGTCTTCTGTGTGCCTCAATATAATTGTTTAATTTGATCAAATTTTGTAAGAATCATAAGTTTCTTATCACAAACAGTTGATTCTCTATTACATATTGGTGATAAATAGAATATTAAACAGTGATAGAATAGTTCATGATATTTTTAAAATCCTTGATCTAGATACTGTTTTTTAAGGGGAAGAATCAGTACATTGATTTTTTTTTGTCAGATGGTCATTATCATGAAAATTTTTGTGACATTTGATAGATTTGGCTAGATTGTAATAGAGCCAGTGATGCGATAAGACATGATTGTACAACCCACCCACTTATATTTAGTTCTACAGATAGCTTTGTTGTACTAGATCTTGGACTTTCTCCTCATATTCACCACCCTCAATTCCCTGTATGGGATAAGAATTCAGGCATAGTTTTAAGTGTTAAACCTCATGTATATAATAATGTTCATCACCACCCCTCATTCCCCCCAAGTCAGTAATATTGGAAGCCATTTAAAAATAATTGCCCATCATTGTAACTACCATTTAATTTATAGCAACATTTAATTTATCAAACAAAGACTATTGTAAGTAGAGCTTTTATTAATAATGCATGAAACCCACAATGATAATAATAAATTTTATTCCTTTTTTAAAAAATTCACAGGTGAATCTGTACCAGAATACCAGATGGCTTTTCAGACAGAGGTTGGAAATCATCCCACTTTTGAAGATATGCAGGTTCTGGTGTCTAGGGAAAAACAGAGACCCAAGTTCCCAGAAGCTTGGAAAGAAAATAGCCTGGTAAGGAAAAACTAAATTATTGAAAAAGAGGACTTATGACTGAATATGTTTTAAATGTTGCTTAAAGCAAAAATAGATTGTTAATGGTAACAGTTTTTAGAGTTGTCTAATGCCAAAAATCTTACTTACTTGATTTGTATGATGTTGTATATTTTCAGAGTTGGAGGTGTTTAATTTGTTTTTTTCAAATAAAAAATACTCTTTAGAGAGACTAACTGTTATGTCTGCAGTTTTCCACATTGGGTAACAGCTGGAATAATTAACATGATAATATTTCAAACATGATTGAAATTCCATTCCATTTATTCTCTTGAGAGTGGTACCGAAAATATTAATTAGTGCAGACTTACATATTCACTGACTGATAGAAATTTAAACTGTACCAAAAAGAAACCAAAGTACCATGTATAAATTCTGCTTATTAAAAATGAAGTTTACAATGCTGAAATATTTTCAGAGGCTCCTGCCATTTCAGTAAATTTGTTGCTACAATTCTAAAAACATCTTAACAAACATTTGCATACAACAGATATATTCACACACACTCATATATTTTTTTAACGTGAGTAGGATCATCTCATTATCCATTGTCATTTCTGAAGCTTGTTTTTTCACTAATTTTTCATGTCAGTACATATATACATTTATCACTTTCTCTCTAATTTGTCAGTATTTCATCATATGTCGTAATTGAATTGCTCTTTATTAATGATAGTACCCTGTATTTCTTATTTTTAAAACCTTTTAGAAGAATTAAAGTTATGCTTATATATGGTAAACAAAATCAAATTAAATGGAATGGCTAAAATAGGAAATGGAAAAAGGTTACCTACTCCTGTCCTACCTTCAGAAGTAACTCATGTTAACAATGTTCTGAGGTTTTGTTTTTGTTTCTAAACTTTCTCTTCTGGAAGTTCCCATTATAACTTTAAATATTACGTTTATTCTTATTTATTGTTGTCTCTCATTTATCCTCTCCTAGTTTTATAATACTGTGTTTGTATAATACAGTATAATAATTTGTATAATACTGTATTGTTTTATTTTGTATAAAGATTGATATGAAATTTTTAATAAAATAAAAACAGATATTTTGTAAAATTATGGTTGTATAAACATCCTTGGCACAACGTACTTTTGTGCTTGGACTCATAAAGAAGGAAGTGAAAATCCTGTTAGTCACTAGAAGCTACTGCCTTTTGAGGAATAATGTTTTAAAAGTCACCCCGCTCTTCTGATTTTTTGGCCCTAGGCTTACTTTCCCTCCTTCCCTCCCACTCTCCTCCCCTTCCCTCCCACTCTCCTCCCCTTCCCTCTACTTTCTACTTTACTGTAGGAACTGGGACAGATTTTTTTTAAGAGGTCCCTGACCTCAGGTAAGAGGCTGAATCCTTTCCCAGGATTCATTAGATGTACCAGACTCACAGTAGAGTATGCTTCAAGGAAAAATCTCTTTGTGAAATTTTATCTACTAAAATACAATTTCATCTTCCATAAATGGTTTTATTTCACCAGAGAAATTGGACTACTTATTCTAAAGTATCTTTTGGCAACCCTGCCATTATGGGATATGCACGATATGCATATTTTTCTGAAAACTTTTTACTCTCAATTTAGATGAGGTTGCTAAGTAGGAAATAAGTAATATTTGGTTCACTTCCAATAAATCCATTTAAGTCTAATGTGCTACAGTCAATAGAACTGCTGCTTTTTGTGTAATGACAATCTAGTAGTAGAATTAAATAGCAAATACATAGTTTCTGTATGAAATATCCCCCCTTTCTATGAAGACATTTTGCTTCATAGTTGCACTGAAATTACAAAACATTTTTGTAGTAACAAAACTCAAAATCTTCTCAAAGTTAATGAATGTAAAAACCCATTTTAAAGACTGCTAGGGAACCAACCTAAACAGCATATTAAAAAGCAGAGACATTACTTTACCAACAAAGATCTGTACAGTCAAAGCTATGGTTTTTCCAGTAGTCATGTATGGATGTGAGAGTTGGACTATAAAGAAAGCTGAGCACTGAAGAATTGATGCTTTTGAACTGTGGTGTTGGAGCAGACTCTTGAGAGTCCCTTGGACTGCAAGGAGATCCAACCAGTCCATCCTAAAGGAAATCAGTCCTGAATATTCATTGGAAGAATTGATGCTGAAGCTGAAACTCCAATACTTTGGCCACCTGATGTGAAGAACCGACTCATTTGAAAAGATGCTGATGCTGGGAAAGATTGAAGGTGGGAAGAGAAGGGGACCACGGAGAATGAGATGGTTGGATGGCATCACCGACTCAGTGGACATAAGCTGGAGTAGGCTCTGAGAGTTGGTGATGGGCCGGGAGAACTGGCGAGTTGCAGTCCATGGGGTTGCAAAGAGTCAGACAAGACTGAGTGACTGAACCGAACTGAACTGTGTGTTTCAAGTGGCTGTTCTTGCTGCTGTCAAGATACTGTCTTCCTCTTTGGCTTTTTATAATTTGATTATAATGTGTCTCGGTATGGAACTGTCCTTGAGTTCATTGAATTTCTTGGATGTGTAGATTTATTTCTTTTACTAAATTTTGAAAGTTATTTAATTATTATTTCTTCAAATATTCTTTCTCCATTTTTTCTTCTTGGCTGTCATTCATTTTGTGTATTTTGATGTGGTTAATGGTGCTTCACTTAGGCTCTATTCATTTTCTTCATTCTTTTTTTGCTTGTGCTTCTCAGACTAGGTAATTTTTATTTCCTGTCTTCATGTTCGGTAATTCTTTTTTCTCTCTGCTCAGATCCTCAATTAACCACTCTGGTGAATTCTACATTTCAGGGTTTTTACTTTTGACCTCGCAAGTGTCTTTTCAATTCCTTTCTATAATTTCTGTCTCTTAATTGCTATTCTCCATTTGTTGAGACATTGTTTTCCCAGTTTCCTTTCATTCTTTATCCATGGTTCCTAGTTCTTGGAGCATATTTAAAGTCTTTGCCAGTAACTCCAATGTCTGTATTTCCTGAGGGACAGTTTTCTGTTCCTTTCTTCATTCCTGTGAATGGGGCATAGTTTCTTGTTTCTTCCCATGCTTTGTAATTTTTTGTTTAAAATACATGTTTTGGATATCATTATGGACAAAAAGGAAACAAAAAAGGAAGACTCTCCAAGTCACTGCAGATTGGCTTTGTCTTCGGACCCTTTGTTAACACTTCCCTTCCTGCTAGCACTGAGCCAAGACTTCTCATTGGCTGAGCCAGCCAGCTGTGAAAGCTTGTGATCTTCTCTGAGCATGCATCCTGCCCTGAACCTTTGTGTGCATTTTTAGACTCTTCAGTATATGCAGAAGATTTTCAGTGCCCTTATTCCCCAAAGTTTCTCACACCCAGCTTTTCTTCCTTGACTTTCAGCATTTCTTTTGTGTGCCTCAACTTATATTTTGCCCCAGGCTATAGCACTTGTTCTTTGGTCTTTCAGTTTTTCCAAAGAATGTTCTCCACTTAGTCATAGCCACTTCCCTATGCTAAGAGAGTTCTGAGTTAGGCAGAACAAAGACAGGCCTATTGCACTGGATCTTCAAGGGAAGACATGTCAAAACAGACAGCATAATTCCTTGGAAACAAGGTCACTCTGCTCCCTCCGGGAACAGGTACCTGTCTTGGGAAAAACGGACTGCCATCTTCATACTTGCCATTAGTCCAGGGGCAGCACTAAATTAAAACACAACAGTTCTCCTAGGCTGTTTCAGTGGCCTTTCTCCTCCCATTTGTGTTTTTAAGTTGGTTGCTGTTAACATTTGTCTAACATCCAAAGTTTCAGTAAAGTTGATTATGATATTTGCGAAGTTTTCAGTGCTGCTTGGGAGGAATGTCCCCCAAAGTTCCTTGCTCTGCTTTGTTTTGACTGATGTCCTCATAGAATGAATTAGGAAATAACGTCCCTTGTTTGATTTCCTGGAAGACTTGTGAAGACTTGGCATTATTATTATATTTTTTTAATGTTTGGTTGAATTCATTCCAAAAGCCATCCAGACCTGGAGTTTTTTTCTTGGGAAAGTTTTAAAATACAAATTTACCCTCCAAATTGATGGCATTCCCAATAATAATATATAAGTGCCTGTTTTCTCATCACTAACACTGCTGCTGTTGCTGCTAAGTCGCTTAAGTCATGTCCGACTCTGTGCGGCCCCGTAGACGACAGCCCACCAGGCTCCCCCATCCCTGGGATTCTCCAGGCAAGAACACTTGAGTGGGTTGCCATTTCTTCTCCAATGCATGAAAGTGAAAAGTGAAAGTGATGTCGCTCAGTCATCCGACTCTTAGCGACCCCATGGACTGCAGCCCACCAGGCTCCTCCATCCATGGGATTTTCCAGGCAAGGGTACTGGAGTAGGGTGCCATTGCCTTCTCCGTCACTACCACTAGGTGGTATGAAATGTTATTTGTCTTTGTTAATGTGTTCATTTCAGCTCAGTCACTCAGTTGTGTCCAGCTCTGTGTGACACATGGACTGCAGCACACCAGGCCTCCCTGTCCATCACCACCTCCTGGAGCTTGCTCAAATTCATGTCCATTGAGTCAGTGATGCCATCCAACATCTCATCATCTGTCATCCCCTTTTCCTGCCTTCAACCTTTCCCAACATCAGGGTCTTTTCCATTGAGTCAGTTCTTCTCATCAGTTAATGTGTTAGGTAAAAATAAATCTTATTTTGATTTGCACCTAATAAATAATAAAGGCAGTGTTTGAAACCAGGATCTTGATTGAGCTGGTACTAACACTACAAATTTGGAACTAATATTCTTAACTACTTCATTGTACTACCTCAACGTGATGAATAAGGTTGAGCATTTTAGCATATTTTAAAGGTGTTTGTTTTTCTTACTTATATGTACTTCATCTACATTCCTGTTATGGATTTGCTATCACTTTTTAAATGTCTTCTTAATGGCAAGCATCATAGAAATAATTGATTCATCCAAGAATCAGCAAGAGATGCTGAAACCAATGGGTGAAAAGTTGAATGCAGAACAAGATATATACAGGAGCTTTGAGTACTCTCCCCCTCCCAAAACAGTGATTAATTATTAAAGGGAAAATGGAACTTTACAGGAAAGATACCTGGCAGACACCAACTTAGTCACGTTGTTAAGGTTAACTTCTCTAGTAATGGGACAAATAAAAAATGTGTACATGATAGGAAGAAGAATGGGAAGAACACAAATCTCTCCTGTGATTTTCTGCCAAAGATGCAAACCTTGAATTTGATCAGGAGGAAATATCAGATAAATTGAGAAACATTTTCAAAAGTAACGTCTACTTTTAGGTCTGCATAGTCTTTTAAAATGTCAAGATCATGAAAGAAAAGTACGTTTGAAATTATTTCAAAAGGAAAAGAAAAATTCCTCTCTTCATAACTTACGACCAGTTCATTTTTTCAAACCAATGTTAAAATCTACTAAGGTAAATATATAACTAGTTTTTATATATATTTATCATAAAAAGGTAGTTATAATTGTTTATTGAGTTATCTTAAAATCCAAGTCATTTTTAAATCCATTAAATATAGTCTTTGCTCATTATTCACGAATTTCATATTTGGAATTCAACTACTTGCTAAAGTGTGTCTGTAATCCCCAAATTAGTAGTCAGATCTCTGTCCCAGTCATTTGTGTATGTGTGCAGAGCAATGAAAAACTTGAGCTCAGATGTACATGTTCCCAGCTGGAGGTCTAATAAGGCTATCGTGTTTCCCCTCGTAAACAAGTATCCTTTTTGCTATGTATTCACTGCCTTATTTTTCGCATTTTTTTTTTTGCATTTTTTGGTGATTTCACCATTTAAAATGGCCCTTAAGTATAACGTTGAACTCTTAGGTGATATTCCTAAGCACAAGGAAAGTTAGATATTCCTTATGAAGAAAGGAAAACATGTTCTAGATGAACTCCATTAGGGCATGAGGTGTGGTGCTATGGCCATGAGTACAGGTTAATAAAATGATTTTATGTTTTTTTTTTAACTTTTTTTTTGTATTGGAGTATAGCTGATTAACAATGTGATAGTTTCAGGTGAACAGTAAAGGGACTCAGTCATACGTATACCTAAACCCATTCTTCCTGAAACTCACCTCCCATGCAAGCTGCCACATAACATTGAACAGAGTTCCCTGTGCTGTACAGTAGGTCCATGTTGGTTATCCATTTTAAATACAGCAGTGTGTACAGGCAATCATAGGTTGTTTTCTAAGTCTGTGAGTCTCTCTGTGTTTTGTAAGTTCATTTGTATCATCTCTTTTTGGATAACCACATATAAAGGATGTCATACAGTATTTCTCCTTTTCTATCTGACTTAAACTGATAATATATATTTTAAAAGGTGTCTTTAAACAGAAACACAAGTAAAACAAGATTATTTATTGATCAGTTGACGAAAATGTTATATTCAGAGACTCACAGGTCCCTAATCCTGTATTTCCTCTAGGATTAATGTTTCATCATTAATTCAGTACACAGCAACTTTATAGAACATGACTACTATCGATAACAGACTCAACCATACTTATAAACACCAAACTTTTACCTCAGGGAGGTGATGCACTTGCTATTAAACTCCAGATTATCATTATCTATTCTTCAGTTTCTTCCATATCTTGAGAAATAGGTAGATTTTTATTGCTTAATGAGAAGATTATTAGTTGGTGTTTATGTCTATTGTTCATATTTTAATTTTTACCCAACAGAGCCTGAATATACTTTTAAATAGATTTCAAAACTCAAAGTAAAGTTGAGTCTTAAAAGATACACTCTTTGATCTCTGTACTGAGCAGGATTGGAGAATCATCCATACTGCCCTGAGGCAGACAACTCAGAACAGCCAGGGGAAAATGGTATTAAGGGTGGGCCGTGGTGCATGTACACAGTGAGCATATGTTCAGCAAGAACACTATCATGTTTCCCAGACAAACCTAGACAACATATTAAAAAACAGAGACATTACTTTGCCAACATTAGTCTATCTAGTCAAAGCTATGGTTTTTCCATTAGTCAGGTATGAATTTGAGAGTTGGACCTTAAAGAAGGCTGAGCACCCCAAAATTGATACTTTTGAACTATAGTGTTGGAGAAGACTCTTGAGAGTCCCTTGGACTGCAAGGAAATCCACCTAGTCAATCGTAAAGGAAATAAACCCTGAATACTCATTGGAAGGACTGATGCTGAAGTTGAAACTCGAATACTTTGGCCACCTGATAACAAAGAGCTGACTCATTAGAAAAGATCCTGATCCTGGGAAAGATTGAAGGCAGGAGGAGAAGGGGACAAGAGAAGACAAGATGGTTTGATGACATCATTGGCTCAATGGACATGAATTTGAGCAAGCTCTGGGAGATGGTGAAGGACAGGGAACCCTGGTGTGCTGTAGTTCATGGGGTCACAGAGAGACTCAACTGAGGGACTGAACAACAGCAACAGCAGATGTTTCCCAGAGACCCCAGGTTCAAGTTGTTACAGAACACAAATTATTAGAAAACATTAAAAATGTTACCAAGATTCCTCACAACAATTTTTAGCTTAAAATAGGCTTGCCAGATAATATACTTCGATTTATGAATTGGCGAGACTATACTGTAAAAACTGATTTGTCCAACTATTTGAAATTAAAATTAAGTAGTATCCGATATTTTTACTTGTTAAATCTGGCAATCCTGGCCTTACTGTTTTGAAAGTGTCTTGAAGATACAAGAAATGTACTGGCAGGTGAAGAGCTTGACACCTAATAAAAAAAATCAGAGTACAAGTGAGAGTAAGAATTCTGGATGCCAGTCCGTCGAAAGTATATAAAGTCTGTCTTTTAAAAGGGAGTTTGCACCAACTTTCTCCCAACGGAACACTGCTGTTCATTGCTGATATATATGAATGTTACAGAATAGGACTGATTTTGATACTACTAATGAAACTAGTTTAAATAAGAAGAAGATGTCAGGCTTTTAAGATTTATGATTGGAATGAAGCACACTACTAGGAGTAAAGGAGGAAAAGCTTGCTTAGAGATTGAAGACAGTCTAGTGTCAGAATTTTTTTAACTCATGTTTGAAGTAGAATTAATGGCTATTGATTGAAATAACAGTGCCCTGGATCCACAACAGCAGAAACACATGGCATTAAAGAAACATATGACTTACTACAGCTGCTTACTCTTGTGGATAATTCTTCAGTGAGTTCAGTTAAAATTTTCTTACTGTACTTGTTCCTCACCTTTTGAGAAATATGGCCCTTTACAAATCCCTGATGTCTTAAGATATTATAGCTATGTAAAATATTGGGTTAAATAAAATTGATTTTTTTTTCTTTCACCTCATGTCACTAAAAAAATTTAGTTATGTTTTGGCAAGATACAGTGTTTGACATATACTTTATTACAGGCAGTGAGATCACTTAAGGAGACAATCGAAGACTGTTGGGACCAGGATGCAGAGGCTCGGCTTACTGCGCAGTGTGCTGAAGAGAGGATGGCTGAACTTATGATGATATGGGAAAGAAACAAGTCTGTGAGCCCAACAGTCAATCCAATGTCTACTGCTATGCAGAATGAGCGGTAAGACACTAAGGGTTTGGAATCCGTCTGTCAGAATTTAAATCTGATACTAGAGAACAGGAAATAAATACTATTAAAACAGTCTAAACGTACAATGATTAACTCATGCAATCTAATGTCATAATTTTTCTTTTAGTATTCCTGTTCTTTTACTGAATGTTCTTGTTTAGTGTAAGTGCAAGATGAAATCCATGGATTTTCATCTCTAACAATACAGTAAAAGATCAGTCTTTGTCTGTTAATGCACGAAGTTCCCTACAATAATAAAGGAAAAGCATTTTCATAGTTCTAAAAGTTTTATATGCACTTCTGCATACTGTTTTGTCTTGATTATCCTTTGTGGTTGTTATTTCTTTTTCCCCTGAATTTTGTTTGTTTAAAGCAAATAGAACTGTGAACTTGCATATGTATCTAACCATTGCTTCACTGGAAACTAGGCTTTGCAGGCTCCCTATCCAGTGGTCTTTCTTTATATAATGCTGCTACTTTTACATGAAAGCAGTTCATAAGTCTTTTTGTCTCATCATGAACTTTATTTTATGAGACATTTCTTTATTAGAACTATGATTTTTTTTAAACTATCTTTATTAGAACTTCTTAGAAGAGCTTTTAGAAGAAAATTCTAAAACTTGAAACTTTTCAGACCATGTAATCTGTGTTTCTTCATTCTGTGTTTAGGGGATAAAGTCTTCCCACAAATTTTCATTTTATCTAAATAAAACATGTTAAAATTTTTCAGAGAAGCATTCAGGAAAGAAAGAGTAAGCACGGAAAATTGAGATAAAAAAATAACTGAATTATTGAATCATTTTCTTTGATATTTTCTGTTGTTCTAATTTTTAAGAAAATTCATATTCTGAACTGTGGATCCCACATTGGGTTTACAACCGCTTGTGCTTGGACTGAATTACCTTCAGGGTATAAACCTTTATTTCTGTTACTAAATATCAGCAAGTTAAGGAAGATATAAATTAGCATTTCTAAATATAAATTTCTCAGCTTACAAATGCCTTGATAGTCTTCTGTTTCCATCACTGCTTATCTCTGTGTTTTCTGTCTGCTTTATTTTGCTGTTTGTACCTCAGTCAGCTCTTTTGCTTTAAGTGCTTTTGAACTTTCCTTAACTGGGAGGAGGAAATGCTGGGTTTTTTTGGGATGCTTTCCTTTGCTGTGGCCATGTTTGCCTCATTCAGTTCTACCCTTAACATGCTGCTTTTCATGTCTGCTGACTTCGGAATTTTCCTCCAAATTGTAATTCATCTAACTTCATTCTACTCTAGGGTTCATTGTATTGGCTCTTTCCTTCTATCCCTCTTGGGCAATACAAAAGCTTTTCTGTTCCTCCCCTTCCTGTCATTCCCCTCGTAACTTCATCACTTTTTCTTCATAGCACTTTTCCTTTAGTAGTTGCTTTTCTTCTGTAATGCTTGTATCTGTTAATGTTCCCACCACTGTCTATATTTGATTGTTTATACTCGATTTTAAACTACCCTTCACTTTTATGTTATTTTTCTTTTCAGTTTTATTGAGATATAATTGACATGTAGCACTCTATAAATTTAACATGTATAGAATGATCATTTGACTTAATACATAAAATGATTATCACAATGTTTAGTAAATGTTCATCATTCTCATACAGATACAAAATTAAGGAAATAGGTAAAAAACAGTTTTTCCCGTTGGGATGAGAACTCTTAGGATTTACTCTGTTAACAGCTTTCATTTTATTTTTTTTGTTCGTTTTATTTTTTGGCCATGTCAAGCAATATGTGGGATCTTAGTTCCCCAACCAGTGATCAAACATGCATACCCTGCATTGGAAGCTCAGAGTCTTAGCCACTGGGCCACCAGGGATCTTGGTCGTAACACCTTTCATATATAGCATACAGCAGTGTTAATTGTTTTTATCCTATATGTTAGATCCCTAGTACTTATTTATCTTATAACCGAAAGCTTGGCCTTTTGACTGCCTTCATTCCATTCCCCTTACCTGTTCCCCTCTGCATATGTTAACCACAGATCTTATTGCTTTTTCTGTGGGTTTTTAAAAAATATATAATTAACCTACAATATTATGTTAGTTCGTGTTATACAACATAGTGATTTGTTACTTCTATACATTTCAAAATGATCACCAACATAAGTCTAGTTATGGTATATCACCATACAAAGACATCACATAGTTATTGACTATATTCCCCACAGTGTGCATTTCATACCCGTGACTTGTTTATTCTGAAAGTAGAATTTTATACTTCTTCATCTCCTTCACCTATTCCTCTTCTTCCCTCCAACCCCTTCTTCTCTGGCAGCTGCCTGTTTCTTCTCTGCATCTCTGTGTTTCTGTTTAGTTTTGCTTGTTCATTTATTTGGTTTTTTAGATTCAACATAAAAGTAAAATCATAGAGTATATTTGTTCATCTATCTGTGAACAATATGGGGTTGTTTTGGTACCTTGGCTTGGCTTTTATTTTTAAAAACATAAATATATTACAGCATGCTGCTCAAGAACCATCATTCTCAAGAAGTGACAGTGAAAGTGTAAAACCCTTGGTAACTGGAGAGCAGTTTTGAGTCTTTGATTTTTTTTTTTTTTAATCTGAGTATCACATTCTGCCTTATACTCTAGGCTCTAGGACTTTCATTGATATGGCTCAGTCTCTACCTAGGAAGATACATTCCTTTGCTAGAGTATATCCCTTAATGGAGCACTTTGGAACAACCTAAAAGTTTGTGTTCTTTTTACCATTTGGAACTTAATTGGTAAAATATTTGTTGAGTATCCACTGTGTATCTAGAATTACGGAAACACAAAAGACAAGTGCCTTGGTTTCTCCTTTCATGGAAATTTATGTCTAATTGAGCAAATATACAATTCATAAAGACATACTTGCTAACGCTACAAAACTATAGGGGAGTTTTTTTTTTAATTAATAAGACTTACAAACTAAAATAATGAACATCTGTAAAAATGATATAGATCCCCATCAGTTTTCTGATGCTTAAATGGTATAAAACTCAGTTTCAGTTCAGTCGCTCAGTCATGTCTGACTCTGCGACCCCATGAATGGCAGCTCGCCTCCCTGTCCATCACTAACTCCCGGAGTTTACTCAAACTCACATCCATCGAGTCGGTGATGCCATCCAGCCATCTCATCCTCTGTTGTCCCCTTCTTCTCTTGCCCCCAATCCCTCCCAGCATCAGGATCTTTTCCAATGAGTCAGCTCTTCGCATGAGGTGGCCAAAGTATTGGAGTTTCAGCTTCAGCATCAGTCCTTGCAATGAACATCCAGAACTGATCTCCTTTAGGATGGACTGGTTGGATCTCCTTGCAATCCAAGGGACTCTCAAGAGTCTTCTCCAACACCACGGTTCAAAAGCATCAATTTTTCTGCACTCAGCTTTCTTTATAGTCCAACTCTCATATCCATATATGACCACTTTTCTGAATGTTGAGCTTTAAGCCAACTTTTTCACTCTCCTCTTTCATTTTCATCAAGAGGCTTTTTAGTTCCTCTTCACTTTCTGCCATAAGGGTGGTGTCATCTGTATATCTGAGGTTATTGATATTTCTCCCAGCAATCTTGATTCCAGCTTGTGTTTCCTCCAGCCCAGCGTTTCTCGTGATGTACTCTGCATATAAGTTAAGTAAGCAGGGTAACAATATACAGCTAGTATAAAACTAGCCTATAGCAAATTTTTAGTTAATATTTGTCAATACTGGATTAGCATTTGGTTAGAATTTTTAAATAGCTTCAAGAATAACGTGGGTTAGGAATAAATGAGAAAGCAGTTTATACTTTAAAAATCAGAGTTGTTAAACTTGAAGAGTCACTTTGTCATAAATATATTCTCAACGTGACACTTTTTTCTTTCTTTAAGCAACCTGTCACACAACAGGCGTGTGCCAAAGATTGGCCCTTATCCAGATTATTCTTCTTCCTCATACATTGAAGATTCTATCCATCACACTGACAGCATTGTGAAGAACATTTCCTCTGAGCATTCGATGTCCAGCACACCTTTGACTATAGGGGAAAAGAACCGAAACTCAATTAACTATGAACGACAGCAAGCACAGGCTCGAATCCCCAGCCCTGAAACAAGCGTCACCAGCTTGTCTACCAACACCACAACCACAAACACCACTGGCCTAACTCCAAGTACCGGCATGACCACTATATCTGAGGTTCCATACCCAGATGAAACAAGTCTGCATGCCACCAATGTGTCACAGCCAGTCGGGCCAACTCCTGTCTGCTTACAACTGACCGAAGAAGACTTGGAGACCAACAAGCTGGACCCAAAAGAAGTCGATAAAAACCTCAAGGAAAGTTCTGATGAGAATCTCATGGAGCATTCTCTTAAACAATTCAGTGGGCCAGACCCACTGAGCAGTACCAGTTCTAGCTTGCTTTACCCACTTATAAAGCTTGCAGTTGAAGTGACTGGGCAGCAGGACTTCACACAGGCTGCAAATGGCCAAGCATGTTTAATTCCTGATGTCCCACCCGCTCAGATCTATCCTCTCCCCAAGCAACAGAACCTTCCTAAGAGACCTACTAGTTTGCCTTTAAACACCAAAAATTCAACAAAGGAGCCCAGGCTGAAATTTGGCAGCAAGCACAAATCAAACTTGAAACAAGTAGAAACTGGAGTTGCCAAGATGAATACAATCAATGCTGCAGAACCTCACATAGTGACAGTCACTATGAATGGTGTGGCAGGTAGAAACCACAGCGTTAATGTCCATACTGCCACTACTCAGTATGCCAATGGGGTAGTACCATCTGGCCAGACAGCTAACACAGCGGCACACAGAGCCCAAGAGATGCTGCAGAATCAATTCATTGGCGAGGACACTCGGCTGAACATTAATTCCAGTCCTGATGAGCATGAACCTTTACTGAGACGAGAGCAGCAGGCTGGCCATGATGAAGGTGTCCTGGATCGTCTTGTGGACAGGAGAGAACGGCCCCTAGAAGGCGGCCGAACTAATTCCAACAACAACAACAGCAATCCATGTTCCGAGCAAGAAGTTCTCACACAGGGTGTTCCAAGCACAGTAGCAGACCCTGGACCATCAAAGCCTAGAAGAGCACAGAGGCCTAATTCTCTGGATCTTTCAGCCACCAATGTCCTTGATGGCAGCAGTTTGCAGTGTAAGTGGAGGGATTGTGTAAATGGAGGGATTTTGAGACCATTTAAATATATTTAGCTAGATAGAGATTATGTTTCAACTAGCAATTATTTACTTTTACCACATTTGGTTGGATTTCAAAAGTAATTAGACATTTGTTTTTAAAAAGGTAATTTTTTTGCTGATAATTAAAAAGTCAGTGTCACAATGATCAGAATAATTACTGACTTAATGTGTACCTTATGTAGCTTCTGGTTTATAATGCAGCTCACATACTTGCTGTGCATAGTTGAGATTTTGTACTTTCTAGTTTAAAGCATCCCAGTAAAATGATACCAATACAACTTTAGAAACACTTTGTTGAGCTTATTATACCTATTATATACACATTTAGGCTTTATCAGACTAATCTTAATAAATCTGAAAAGTGCAGAGAAAATTCAGAAAAGTCACTGTAAAGAAACTACAAAGTTATTCTTGGTTTTTCATGTCAGTATTTTCAGGAGCTGTGTGCCTATAGCATTGTGCTATGGGGCCCTTAGCCACTTACACAAATAACTTGATACTTGGTTTATGGCCCTTGAGGGATTATAACACAAGACAGGAGAGCTCACTAAAATCTTCACTAAAGATAGGAGAGCTCACTAAGACAGTCATTATTGTACAAAATGATATCTCTTTTAGACTGATAGCAGTTATGAAAAAAAAGTCACATTTTATGTTTGTTGTCAAAGACTACAAAATGGGCTAATGGGATCAGGCTGTCAAAATACTCAGTAGAACCTAGCCCTTTGCTTGAGTAGCTTGTATTGAAGAGTTGACATAAATTATGGCAAGGGTCCACATCTGTAAAATGTCTTGCCAGGTATGGGAAGGGGAAATCACTAGAAAATTTGCACTCGAGTATTTATGTCATTCTTCTGAAAAATAAGTATATTCTAGGTGACTGCTCTGATCATGAAATAGAAAGATTAAATGCATTTTGCCAAGTTAGGATTTCTACCAATAACCAAAGGATTTGAGAATACAATTGAGAACTTGGAATTTTCTCCTGTTTTTGCTTTTTGAGGTTTTTCTATATTTTTTTCCTTGCCTATAGAGTAATTCAACCAATTATAGAAACATTGTGCTTAAAGAATTTCAAAAATAATTTGGTAAAGTTAGAAAAATACTGTTTGGCATCATGAATTTCAAGAAATGTCTGTTAGCTTCTCTTGTAGACATTCATTTGCTCTCTTATCCATTTACAACCCTAATTTTCACTTTTTATTAGTTTCTTTATGTATAGTTCATTTTTCTGCACTTTTATTTTCAGTAGGTGAGTCAACACAAGATGGCAAATCAGGATCTGGTGAAAAGATCAAGAAACGAGTGAAAACTCCCTATTCTCTTAAGCGGTGGCGCCCCTCCACCTGGGTCATTTCTACTGAACCACTGGACTGTGAGGTCAACAACAATGGCAAAGACAGGGCAGTGCATTCCAAATCCAGCACCACTGTTTACCTTGCAGATGGAGGCACCGCCACGACGATGGTGTCTAAAGATAAAGGGATGAACTGTCTGTGAAATGTTTTCAAACCTATGGAGTGAAATTATTTTTTGCATCATTTAAATGTGCAGAAGACATTAAAAGAAAAAACTGCTTTATCCTCCTGTCAGTACCCCCTCCTACCCCTGCAACAAGGACTTGCTTTAAATAGATTTCAGCTATGCAGAAAAATTTAGCTTATGCTTCCATATTTTTTAATTTTTTTTTAAGTTTTGCACTTTTGTTTAGTCTCGCTAAAGTTATATTTGTCTGTTATGACCACAGAATTATATGTGTGTGTATCAAAAGTGGTCTCAAAATATTTTTTTAAGAAAAAGCAGAAACAATGTATTGCTGATAATCAGTTTGGACCAGTTTCTAAAGGTCATTAAATCAGAAGCAAATTAAGACAGGTGTGACTGCAGTGGTGTCTGGTATCCATGTTTTATTTCTGGGCACAAGCTAGTTTGTATGTTGATACGTTCCTGAACGCATTATCTGTTGGACATTCTTTTCTCTGTGTTTTGTTTGAATGTGCAATAGTCTATAGGCCACAAATAAGCTTTCTCGTAAGCTCTCTTCCTAACAGAGCACACATTCTTCCAAGATATGAACATTTTCCTTCCCCACCCTCCATACTTTTGGCAGGTCAGTTCTTTGACAGTGAGTTTTTGCACAAGAGAAAGCAGCTACCTGATTTCTTGCTTTCTCTCTCCTTATGGAGAATGCAGAAACATCGTCTCAAAGGGCTCTAAAGAAGGAACTACCAAAACCTAATTTGAAATGCCATTTCTTTTATCCTTCCAAATCCTAAACATTTCCTTCCGGGCATTTTAATAAACATATTTGGTTTCTGGTTTTGGAAGTTTGTAAGAGCACAGAACAAAAAGTGAGTCAAATATTAGCTGTTTTCCATTTTATTTTTTATATATGTTCATGTTCCATATTCATTTATTTAAGAAGCACATTTTTATCAGAAAACTTACAGAGCTTTCCTTATGGAATTTTTAAGTAGGTAGATGGTTAACACAATGTAGTATTATAGTCTTCATTCTCTGAATATGCTGTGTTTGACATAAATAAAATTACATCCTGTTTAAAATAACTTCACAAGTAATTCATAGTTGTGAACCTGTAGTATCTTTTTTATTCTTTTCCCAAACGAGGCCTGGTAACTTTATCTGGAAATTATTCCTGTTCCCATGACCTAAAACACTGTGTAGAAAAATCGTTCAGCTGGCATGCCAAGTCCCTGTGAAAGGAAGAATTGCTGCCAAACCTGTCATTTTTGAGCAGACTGGGACTTAGCTCTCTCTTTTCTAAACTGTGTTTCTTCATTAATCTTATTTTCATAGTTTTTCCATTTGCCAGTTTTTACATCATTTTTGATATGTGACCACCGTTTTATGATTTACATTATATTAGAATGTACCTTTCAGTGATAACATCATGTATTATGTTGTTTTTAAAGCTTCCTTTGCTTCTTTCATTACTGATAATCGTCTCTAAAACAACCTCTGCATGTTTTTTTCTTTTTAAATAAAGCACTTTATGTCAAATAAGGGACTTTTTTATAAGCACAATTATTTTCTATCAGTTTGCAAACAATGAAGAGATCATTTTTTCCCCCAGATTCTCAGATTACTTCATAGACTTTCAGTTCTAAGATTTCTCTGGGGATAAAAAGCTCACAGGAAAACACAAATTCCTGATTGAGGTTTTTATCTCCTGAACAAAGTTTTCTCGCTCATATTCTTCTATCTGCATCACTTAGCTAGAGATAGACTCTGTTTCTCAATTTGCTGTCCAGAATACGTATGTGTGACTGACTTGTGTGCATAAGCCTTCTTTTGTTTACCATCTATTGTGATCTTACGAAGAGAGATGTCACAGTGCTTAGCCATTTATTCAGCTGGATTGCTGAACACGGTTTTGAAATCTTAGAAATGACATTATTTTGCTAGTGCCCGAGATTTCCACCTTTTGTATTTTATTGGCCCTTCTATTCATTCAGACCCTTAATATATTTTTCAATCATCTGGCATAAGAATTTTTCATTTATTTTTTTATCTATGTAATGAGTTATTTATATTTTTTCCTGTAAAATTTCCCTTGGTTCTCTTAATTTTAAATGTCTTCCAACTGCATTTCAGGATATTATTTTTAAGTAATTGTAGAACACCTTTGAGTCAAAATAACTTACATTTCTTCTTCAATTGGAAGCAACAAAGATAAATGACTGTTTGAGGTCTAACTGATCTTTTCCAGACAGAAGAAGAGTTGCCTTACATTCTACTACACTGTGTTTGGGCCAGTTGATTGTAAGTTTTTCAGGATTTTTTGGTATTTAGTAGTAAAATGCTCTCAAAAATTGGTATACCAAATTAAAAGAACTCCTTATAGTTTCCCGTTTTATGCAAGCATGCTTAAAACAAATAATTTTCTTTCTCTATGTTTTTATTAGCAGACTCTTGGTGAAGTAGGAGAAATAGCGAGTGTAGATCATTTTAATAAATTTTAAGTTAAATTTACCTCAGACCGATTTAGAATCTGTTTGCAAATATACAGGCAAGCAAAATTACATAAAATACTCATTTGTAAACTATTTAATAATAAATGTATCTTCAATCTAATATTTAACTATATTCAAAAATTTTTGCATGTAGAAAAGCATTTGGGTCCCTTTGAATAAGAAGCCATTCATTTAATGAAAAAAATACTAAAATTCAACCTTAAAAGTATTATAACCTTAAAAGCATCATAATAGGTAATCGGAATAATTCCCTTAACTATCATAATTGTATATCAGAACTATACAAGAACTTAATTTGAATTGAATGTAGACAAAATGATATAATGATAGTTCCTAAAAAGTTCCCTCTTTTTAAATGCATAGTTGGGGGGAAAAAAAATACTGGTGTAAAAAGTTACGGGAAGGCAAAGGAGTAGATACAAATACTAATTGGCTATTTATTACATACTGAATGCTGGGCTATAAATACATTATCTCTTTGATTCCTCATGACAACCATATGAGAATTATGGTTAATACTCCCATTTTACAGTAGGGGAAGCTGAAGCTAAGAGAAGCTAACTAGTTTGCCTGAGGTCTACACCTTGTAATTGACAAAGCTGTGATTTTCTAACCTAGGCCTGCTCTCTTCACATCTCTTTCATCCACACCACACTGCCTACACGCTGTATGACAAGATGCATGACAGACTAACATTTTGTAAGAAATTTAGTCATTAAACTCCAGCACAATTGTGGCTTGAATATCAGCCAAACCAGATAGCTTAATGGCTTTAGAGTTAGGAAAACATAAGAAAATGTACAGACATGCCTGTGGTGTTTGTTGCTTGAGAAATAATTACTAATTCAAGACAAAATTCAGTCCCACATGTGCCATCATGAATCTTAAAATCATTTAACTTCTCTTCACTCCCGACATTCTTATATTGCAAAACTAAATGGGAAAGGCAAAGGTGAATTGTGGGAACAGAGACCTTTTCCTAAATTGATTCCATTGTTGATTTGGTGGAATTAATTTAATGTGTCCCATCAGTCCTTGCACTTCATTTTGAAAATTTCTACTTTTAATGACTTTAGAAAATTTTACTAATTCAGTTAACTAATAGAAGAGGCTGTAGGAAGAATAGAAAGAAATTCAGTTTTTATAAAGCAATTTGTATAGCTTCGTTAGGTGTATCCACTCACTCTGGAAAATGTGTTGGTTCTGAATGTGACAATAATTAAATAAAGGTGGGAACACTCAGATAAGTATGTGTTTCAGTGGGAATTATCACAAAATTTGGCAAGTATGTTTATGTAAAATATTTTCCATCTTGGCTTCTAAAAGCCAAATGAAATTCAACAAACTTTTTTTTTTCTTATTTATAAAAATAAATATTTAATTGGAGGTAATTAGCTCCTAGAATGTGAGATTACATTCTATTTCTATATAACGTTTTATAAATTTATGTTAAACTTACTACCAGTTGTATGCAGGCTATTACATATCAATAACTATTCACAGATTGCTATATATATTATTCTATCTTCCAAGCTAACTTCTTAAACTTAGAATCTGTACACACATGTTAGTTGATTATCTAGACTAGTTATCCTAGAAATTATGTTATTGTCCCATGGACACCCCAGGAGTCTTTTCAGAGCAAGATTTTTCTAAATATTCATACCTTTTACTGTCAGTTTGCTCATCAGCAAATAAAAGTTCATTTTAACTTTTAGATTCTGAACTATGTAAACTTTAGCCAAAACTACCTTGTGTGATCCACTCCTAGATGATAATCCTTGATTAAGTAAACCTGGCAAATCACTATTTGAACTAGTTTACACAAATATTATCAAAAGTAGGCTTTTCTACTGGTTCCCTGATTAACATATAAGAAAAGAGGAAATCCCAGGGTGGCACTATGGGTTTACTTTACTTCATTCACTTCTTAGTTTCTGTCTTACTCTGACTTGCAATCTTCTATGTCTGGAAGGTTTTCTTCACATTTATTCTGCTTCCCTCCTGTTTAATTTTGTATCTCTTTCTCTTAACCAGCAGATAAAATAAAAATAAAATAACATTTGTTATTCAGTATGCTTCAAGCTTCTTGACACTGAAGTCTCAGTTCTTCACACAAAATTTCTTTGGTTCCTTTACCATTTTCTCCTCAGTTTTATTTTCATACCTACTTATATTTAAGAATACCTAAAGTTATATTTTGTTATATTCAAGTTCATTAGTCCATTTATAGTTAAATAGGGTAGAGTTGAGAATTAAGATGTTTCCATTTGACAGTAGATCCAACCATCGGATTGTCAGCAAATCAGCACTTCAGTTTATATTATCTAACTTTTTTTTTTATCAAATTGTGGAGTTTTGTGATTTTTATACTGCAATAGTTTATAACTAAAAAGTCATGCATGCAGAATTGTATATCACTTTACTGTTATTTTTAACCTATATTGCAGCTGGCTTAGCATTATGATTGAGCCACAACATTTTATATATTTCTTTGCATCAAATATTAAACACAAAATGCAAGATTAACTTTCAAAAGCAAACCCTACAACAATCAAGTATTATCTACAAATATTTTTGCAGACCACTTTTGAAATACTCGTCATTGTTTTGCAACATAGACTGGACTATAACAACTTTTATTTAACATTTAAGTGACTGGTTAAAATTAAGTGTTGTGCATATAAAGAAAAATTTACAGTTTATCTCATGGCTGGTAACATTTGAAAAATAAATATTTAAAAATTTATGCTGTGTATTAAAATTATGCCCCAAATAAATATATCTTGAAAATTCTAATTCCGTTATTACTGTGATATCCATCGTGTTACTATTAAATGTTATAAAATTAATTTTTTAAACTTAAGACCCAGATTTTAAAATCTGGGTAAGAGACAAAGAACCTTATCACCGATTAGCTCGTCCAGTTTATGACAATATTTAAGCAAATTGCTGTATTTTAAACTGCAACTTGTTTTTGTCTTTAATGTTTTAAAAGACAACATGTAGGTTTTTTCCATTTTATTTGTACTTTAAGATTTCAAAACCATCTTCCTGTTTTAGACTCACTCTATAGACATAGTATTACTTAAAAACTCAGGGGCCCTTTCATCCCTTTGCACATTGAAAAACTTCAATTGATAGCAAACAGGCAATTAGATACAGTTGAATATTTAAATTTTTGTTACACACAGAGTTCATTTAATGTTTCATGCTATGATT